GCACATTTACCTAATGCATTACATCATTTGATTTCTTGATTGCTGCTTCCATGAGTATTGATGGTTGACATAACCAAAATGAAGTCTCTGACAACTTTAATCTTTTCTCCATTTATCATTTTGCTATTTATTGGTCCAGTGGTGAGGATTTGTGTTTTCTTTACATTGAGGTGAACTCAAACTGAAGACTGTGGGCTTTGATCTTCAGTAGTATTTGAAGCCCTCTTTGCTTTCAGCAAGCAAGGTTGTATCATCTGCTTATTGCAGGTTTTAACCATTCTTCCTCTAATCCTGATGCCACATTTTCCTTCATATAATCCAGCGTCTCAGATTGTTTGCTCAGCATACAGATTGAATAAGTATGGTGAACAAATGCAACCTTGGTGCACACCTTTCCTAATTTTAAACCATTCATTGCTCCTTGTTCTATTCAAATAACTGCCTCTTGTTCTATGTACAGGTTCTTCATGAGCACAATTTAAGTGTTCCGGAACACTCATTCTCCACAATGTTGTCCATAGCTTGTCATGATCCACACAATCAAAAGCCTTTGCATAGTCAATAAAGCATAGGTAAACAACTTTCTGGTGTTCTCTGCTTTCAGCCAAGATCCATCTGACACGAACAATGATGTCCCTTGTTCTGTGCCCTCTTCTGAATCTGGCTTGAACCTCTGGAAGTTCTCTCTCAATGTATAGTTATAGCCGTTTTTGGATTATCTTTAGCAAAATCTTACTTGCATGAGATATTAGTGACAGTGATTTCTGCATTCTCTTGAGATACCTCTTTGCAATGGGCAAAAATATGGATCTCTTCCAATCAGTTGGCTAGGTAACTGTCTTCCAGATTTCTTGGAATAGATGACAGAGTGCTGAAAGTGCTGCATCAGTTTGTTGAAGGATTTCAATTTGTATTCCATCAATTCCCAGTGCCTTGTTCTGTGCCAATGACCCAAGCCATGGTATTTTCAATAACCCTGTATGCATGTGAATGCTGGACAGTGAATAAGGAAGACCATATAAGAATGAATGCTTTTGAGTTATGGTGTTGGAGGAGAATATTGAAAGTACCATGGGCCACCAAAAGAACCAACAGATCTGTGTTGGAAGAAGT